TTTTACATGAAAATCAGTCTTCCCAACCTGGGGTCTGTAGATGAATTGGGCTACAATTTCTACCATCTGAAATAAGTATGATTAATGGGTATTGAGCCAGTATGGTTTAGTAGACAGGGTGATGGACTAGGACTCCAGTTCAAATCCTTACCCGGCCATGGAAATTCCCTGAGGGGTGATAAGAGATGTCCAATGCTCTGCCTTGCCTGGTGAGACTTGATCTCTTCCATCCTGTGATGCCAAATATGGCGGACAAAGCACCAGTCGGGCTTCAGGCCGCACCATGGTACAGAAACAGCATTGGTCACCCTGTTTGATAACCTGCTGTGGGAGGTTGACAGGGGCAAAATGTCTTTGTTGGTCCTCCTTGATATCTCAGCCACCTTCAATATCATCAACCACAGTATCCTCCTGGGGAGGCTCTCTGAGCTGGGAATTGGTAGCCTGGCACTTCGCTGGCTCCGATCCTTCTCAGAGGACCGTCCTCAGAGAGTACAGCTTGGGGAGAGTATTTCGGCCCCGGGGAACCTCAATTATGGGGTTCCAAAGGGCTTGATTATCTCCCCAATGCTGTTTAATATCTACATGAGGCCACCAGGTGGGCTCATCAGGGGGTGTGGGGTGTCGTGCCATCGGTACGCTGATGACACCCAGCTCTATATCTCCCTTTCTCCAACCACAGTGGATGCCGTTCTGTCCCTTCAGCACTGCCTGGAGGCTGTACTGCAATGGATGCAGGAGAATGGACTGAGGCTGAACCCAGACAAAATGGAGGTCCTGAGGGTGGGTGGCCCCTCCATCAGTGGTTTGGGAAACTCCCTCTCTTTTGGGAGAGTAACTCTCACTGTGGAGAGTGAGGTTCACAGCTTGGGGGTCCATCTGGATCCGGCGCTCACCATGGAAACCCAGGTGACATCAGTGGTCCACTCCACCTATTTCCATCTGTGACGGATTGCCCAGCTGCATCCCTATCTTGATATTGGGGTGCTCACTACTCTAGCCCATGCACCTGTAGTCTCAAGATTAGACTACTGTAACAGACTCTACGTAGGGCTACCTTTGAGACTGATGTGGAAGCTTCAAATGGTGCAGAATGCGGTGGCCAGACTTCTCACTGGGGTGAGAAAATATTAGCATATCTCTCCCACTCTGGCTGCCTTGCATTAGCTGCCTGTTCATTCCCACATTGATTTCAAAGTGTTGATGATGACATATAAAGCCCTAAACAGTTTAGGACCTCAGTATCTAGTGGAACGCCTCCTCCCACCTAGATCTACCCGAATCACTCATTCTAGCCAGGAAGGGCGGCTGAGGGACCTAACACCAAAGGAGGCCTGGAGAGAAAGAACAAGAAACCGGGCCTTCTCAGTGGTGGCCCCCCACCTTTGGAACAGTCTGCCCCCAGAAATCTGTCTGGCTCACTCACTGGGTGATTTTAAGAGCCAACTTAAGACCATGCTCTTTAGGCAGGCTTTCCTTCCTGTCATCACTTGATTATTTTTATTTTTTCCCCATCTTGAACCATGTTACTATTGTTGCTTTTTATTTTATTATACTGTTTTTATTCCATTTTTATTGTTAGCCGCCCAGAGTAGACTTGTGTCTAGATGGGCGGGGTATAGATTTAATAAATA